AAATATAATTTGTGTCATTTATTCATATAATATTTTTAATAAATGTTTGTATGTTTAATCCTGTTCATATATCTAAAAATAAATTACTTTATTTTGGAAATACATTCAGGTCACAAGTTTTCATTTCTCATTCATGATCAGAGTTGGTATCTTGTCATTTTCTGAGATTTCATAATGCAAAGATCTTGCGTGAGTTCTTATTGTGTGAGATTGAGCTGGTCTTAATTTCATAGAGTGAGTTCTTACAACTATATATGACAAGAGCTGTCATATTATGTGACCCTCAACTAATTTTATAACAGCCACCATGTCAGTGATCAAAAGTTATCCTTCTGACATTAGAGAATTCAAACAATGAGTAGAATAAGTTTATGAATAAATATTTTTACTATTTACCAAGCTACAGTGAAGTCACAATATACATGTATACATAACTGCTATCATTATGTGATTTTTCAACTGGAAAATAAAACTTTAGAATTATTCAAATATTTGTATTGTTAGGAAGTTAAATGAAGAGAACAAAATCTAATTTTATCTTGAGCAAGCAAGCTTTGATAGAATCCTTCAGAAGCTGGAGACTGTGAATACAAAATGATTGATTGGATGCTGTAATTTTAAAGATTTTTTTAAATGCCCACTTTGTTCCTATATCCAATATCAGATGTGTGTTAGGTGGTTTCATTGGGCATGTGTGGGAAGCCCATCAGARAACAGATGTGAGTGTTTTGCGTGTTCGCTTTAGGTTTGTGAGTTTGCTGTGGTGTGCTTGTTTGTTAATGTTCTCTAAAAGTTGATAAACTATATTTTGAAAAATAAGCTTGATATTTCTCTTTACAAAACTTCAATATAAGGTAACGATGAAGGAAAGAGCCAAAGTCTCAAAAGTAACATCCATAATTAAATTAATTTGTTCCCATGTTACAGAGAAGCAGATTGTGAAAAAAACTATATAAGCTTAGATGCAAGCCGATCACAAGTACCTCCTGAAGCAGAGCTGAGTCGAGTTTTGCACTACAATACAGAGTTCAATGATTTTATTGACTTTGAAACGGACACAATCATCAAAGATTTAGACAAATTCCAAATTCTCTTCAAGTTGGGTTGTCAGCAAGCCGGCGCACAAGTTGAAAGCACATGTTTGGTAAAAACAGTGGAATAAGTGACTCTTAACTTTTTTTAATCCATGACATATTTAATTCCAAAAAACATCTAAAAGTTAACCTTACAATGTAAACAACAAAAGTTTTATTTTAATCAGTCTCTGATTAAGTTATTAGATAAGATAATTTTGTATTTAGTTTCTGAATTATTCATCTTGTGTACATTTTTTTAAAATATAGGTTTATGTCTTAAAAATATTATACACAAATGACAGCAGGCTTAAATAAGAAAAGTCAGTAGGTATTACAT